ATTAATCAGGTCTTGTCACAGGAGGCAACCAGGTCGTCAGTGTATGATGTCTTTGAAAAAAGTCTCCTATTCTAGTTCTCAACAAAATGTCCTCGTGAGAAACCTTCGATTAGCTCCTTGAAACCCCCATTTTACTAACGAAAATCACTCCGCTTTTACTGATGCACAAAGAACCCTCCTTGGAATCCTTCAGTGGCTGTCCGAATTACTATTGGTTCTTTAGTAGTTAATGTCAGGTGAACGTCGTTTGTTTGCGATACTCCGTTTGTTTATCTGCATCGCTCGCTAAAATGGATGAAGCATACTGACTGGATGACCTTGGTCTGCGTTGACCATCAGTTGTGCATTGTGAAATACGGAAATGGTTGGTCAGCAGACCTTGAACTAGATTTAGACGGTGAAAGGCTTATCGTTATCTTGTTGCCGGAACTGTAAGGCCTCCCATAAATAAAAGAACATGGCAGCGTTCCCAAATGACTGCATAAGTCAAATTGAATTCTCAAAAGGTCATTTTATTCGGAGATTTAGGTGGTCGGTAGCTCAGCAGTTAGTCCAGTTCTTTCAGATACAAGCGCATCATTTTGTAGAAGACAGTTGCAGAAATCGCTTATCAAAATATGCTATTTGCAGGTGATTCATTAGGTTCGCTGCTGATGCTTGTAAGAGCGCAGGGGTTAATCTACAGAATAGAGGGAAGACTGGCACTTCAAACATTTTCTAACCAATCGATCATTCTGTGTGTCAATACAAGTCCATAAGAGGTTGTTTCAGATATTAAAATCAATATTGTGCTCATCCAAGTGCTTTTATCAGAGGGAGAAATCGTGGAATCGGACGGAAAACCAAGTTAACCAACAATCAGGCGCATGCATTCTATATTTTTGGGATGACCCAGAGGTTTAAGGTCGTGCTGGACGCGCAGAAAAACTCATATTATGGATGGTGAAACGAGGGGACTAACCATTGGTGTTAAAGTAAAGGGAAGACTGACTGCCAAAGTACTTGTTTATTGCAACCAGTTAAACAGAAATCGGCCTAACTGTGGGCTGACCCCCTACCCACATAAATACTATTAATGCATGGTCGGTCGTTAATCAGGTGGCTGCTAATCTGATCGCCGAGCTTGGCAATTGGTTTGCAAACATTTCGTCACCATACGAGGAAACAACATCAGTGCACAGTTGGGTGGGTACTTCTTCCTTGCCCGGGTGCATTTACATAGCATAGCAATCTACATAAAGGAAGGCGAGCCACAACGCAACAAAGATCACAAACGGACCAATAGATTCAAGGAAATCGTAACCCCCATGTAGCCAATCACGTTACATAACAGACGCTACCTAAACGCACAAAGGCAAGGAACAAGTAACCACCTAACTGCGCGCTGATGATGTCTCCTCGTATGGTAGTGAAACTTTTACTAGCCAGTTGGCAAGCTTGGCGAACAGTGGTGGAGTTTCAGGGTCTCAGTAGGTTCCGGGCGTTCTGGTGTTATTTTCAGGGTTCTGATCTTTCTGACACAAGTCAGATGACCAAACACGACAGACTGTATCACGAGCTGTAACTTGAGGAGGTGTAGGCCAGCTAATTGTACTTGATGCATTGTCAAGTGTATCAGTACCTGATACTTTCGAGGCGTCCTTCCACAGTCACAACGCAGCCGCACAAGACTGTGTTTATGTAAATGAACTTGTTCCAACTGGTACTGGCTGAGTACTAAGAAAATACTATGGCGTAATAAAGCCTTGGCCCTTTCCATTTTTCTCAGGTTTCCAATCCATGGTAATCAACATGATTGTGTATCGACTTCTGATTTGATTAAGCCTTGTTCCAAAAATAAGCGTACTCTAGGGCAATTTTCGCTGTCCTCAGGTGTATTTGAAAAACACAAGTCATTCTAATCTCTAAAAATTGAAGTCGTAAGCCAAGCAGAATTCAGGATCCGGGTCAGCCTGAAGAATGCGTACATAACCAACATTCAATACGGAAGAATGCACATTTTTCACCGCTATTGAAGGATGGGTGAAAATGCAAAATTGATTGCCACTCGGTGCCAAAGGTAACGTTAACCATGAGCAATCAAATAGGGTGTGCATGAGTATAGTGAGAGTCAGTGAAAAGTGTGGGTATAGATATGAATACAATTCCTACGGGGAAAAAGGGGAAATAGACGATAGTTCGGAAAATACGTTTGAGTGAAGCCTTTGGTCCTGGATTACAAATGATGGTCAGACGTATAGATGGTCGTGGTCTGAACTAAAATTCTTGTCTACACTGCTTTTGTTGCAAACTAAGAATGGGAGTTGAGAGCAAATGAAGCGGGTAGTAGTAAACTATTGTACTGTCATGGTTGTTCATCATATTGGCGGGCGATTCAACCAAGGATCTTTAGAGGCTAGCAACACCAGGCAGAAATACTCCCCGGATGGCAGATTTAGCTACCTGCAGTCCGGTGCGTGTCACCTGATTAATCAGGTCTTGTCACAGGAGGCAACCAGGTCGTCAGTGTATGATGTCTTTGAAAAAAGTCTCCTATTCTAGTTCTCAACAAAATGTCCTCGTGAGAAACCTTCGATTAGCTCCTTGAAACCCCCATTTTACTAACGAAAATCACTCCGCTTTTACTGATGCACAAAGAACCCTCCTTGGAATCCTTCAGTGGCTGTCCGAATTACTATTGGTTCTTTAGTAGTTAATGTCAGGTGAACGTCGTTTGTTTGCGATACTCCGTTTGTTTATCTGCATCGCTCGCTAAAATGGATGAAGCATACTGACTGGATGACCTTGGTCTGCGTTGACCATCAGTTGTGCATTGTGAAATACGGAAATGGTTGGTCAGCAGACCTTGAACTAGATTTAGACGGTGAAAGGCTTATCGTTATCTTGTTGCCGGAACTGTAAGGCCTCCCATAAATAAAAGAACATGGCAGCGTTCCCAAATGACTGCATAAGTCAAATTGAATTCTCAAAAGGTCATTTTATTCGGAGATTTAGGTGGTCGGTAGCTCAGCAGTTAGTCCAGTTCTTTCAGATACAAGCGCATCATTTTGTAGAAGACAGTTGCAGAAATCGCTTATCAAAATATGCTATTTGCAGGTGATTCATTAGGTTCGCTGCTGATGCTTGTAAGAGCGCAGGGGTTAATCTACAGAATAGAGGGAAGACTGGCACTTCAAACATTTTCTAACCAATCGATCATTCTGTGTGTCAATACAAGTCCATAAGAGGTTGTTTCAGATATTAAAATCAATATTGTGCTCATCCAAGTGCTTTTATCAGAGGGAGAAATCGTGGAATCGGACGGAAAACCAAGTTAACCAACAATCAGGCGCATGCATTCTATATTTTTGGGATGACCCAGAGGTTTAAGGTCGTGCTGGACGCGCAGAAAAACTCATATTATGGATGGTGAAACGAGGGGACTAACCATTGGTGTTAAAGTAAAGGGAAGACTGACTGCCAAAGTACTTGTTTATTGCAACCAGTTAAACAGAAATCGGCCTAACTGTGGGCTGACCCCCTACCCACATAAATACTATTAATGCATGGTCGGTCGTTAATCAGGTGGCTGCTAATCTGATCGCCGAGCTTGGCAATTGGTTTGCAAACATTTCGTCACCATACGAGGAAACAACATCAGTGCACAGTTGGGTGGGTACTTCTTCCTTGCCCGGGTGCATTTACATAGCATAGCAATCTACATAAAGGAAGGCGAGCCACAACGCAACAAAGATCACAAACGGACCAATAGATTCAAGGAAATCGTAACCCCCATGTAGCCAATCACGTTACATAACAGACGCTACCTAAACGCACACAGGCAAGGAACAAGTAACCACCTAACTGCGCGCTGATGATGTCTCCTCGTATGGTAGTGAAACTTTTACTAGCCAGTTGGCAAGCTTGGCGAACAGATCAACAGTGACCTGATCAACAACCAATAAACTCACCCAAGCTACCAATATTTCAAAACATTACCAATGAATGACTGTGACCTCACCACACTCACCCCTTCTTTGGATCATTCCCACTGTGAATCCACAAGCCACATCACAGGCAGCTTTCCCACTTCGAACAAAGCAACGGTCAACTATCGTAACCATATAACAGAATGTACCACAGCAATGACCCGACCAACGAGTGGATGAGTTATTTTCGGTAATTTCTGTCATGGTGACCGCGTTACAGACATGCATTTGACAACCGTTATTCACGACAAATCTTGAGCTACCGGAAGAATGACTCGCTTTGACGCAACAACTGTCTGTTCAGACTTGATGACCACGCTGTACACAATCCCATTATCAAGTTTTTACAATTACCCATAGCAACCCTACGAAGGCAGTTTCAATAAAGTCAACATTTCCGTTGAGTGTCGTAGCTAGCTAAGACGACCACTCCGTTGGTCACAAATTTTTGGAGATGGAGAACCCGTTTGCTTTTGGGAAGATTAATTCTGATTCAGCTCCAAATAGTTTTCAAAACAGAAATCTCGCCGTTCAATGGTGTTGGAAGCCAGCCATACCGTCAGGTGAAAATGCGTACGATTACTGTACAAACCGTTAATCGCGGGCAGCCACTTCGGCATTCCAAACATGAAGGTGACTATCAATCGACGACAAAAGGTCACCGGAATGCTCTAAGTGCCATCCTCTCCCGAAGCAACTTTTCGGTTTTGCAACCATCAATGATATCGACTTAATGGAAGACTCCTGTGATGTTGTTTCGGAAATAAAGGACCCGTTTTTGATTGTCAACAGCTTCATCGTTTTCCGAAAGCGGAAGAAAATGAGTCGTGGATAGCGGTAGACAAACGAAACTTCGAGAAACTCGTCGTTGTGGATCAAGCCGGAGGGAACGCCAGGAGTACCATACTGAGTAGACTTTGTGATTATTCGACAACTAGCACACAGACTACTCCACAGAACTGTACACGGAAGCCATGTGGTTCCGGATGAGTTCCCTTCCCACCTAACGATGCACGAAGACGAGTGATCAGGAAGCAAAATAATATTTGTTAGAAAAAACATTATCACAGCCCAGAAAAATTAACGGTGATTCCCACTTTGGGAGTAAAAGAGAGTTTCTGGTAAGAACAGGCGAGACAAGTTAAGTAAAACAGTCACGTAAAGTTTCGGAGGGGGAACCATGGATCGAGTGCAAATACTTCGTGCTGTGCTACAGACCTTGGTCGGGGGACTCGGTGACGTTGGAATGCGGGCCATAAATCGCGAAAGGCCAACAAAGCTTGCAATCTTGAAGGTAAACCCAAGCGAGACACGAATTTCGGGTAGTTCAAACCATGGGCGGTCGTGTCTGATGTCGATAATTCAACTGCGAGAAAGAAAAAAGGGAGAGAGAAAAATGGGACCAGAAAAAGAATCAGTATATTGACAGCGGTGGACTTGTAAGACATCATATAAACATACTGCTTACAAATGTGTTAGTAGGTTCAGATCGAATCACAAAAAAGCTTGGGAAATTCGATGAAACTTAACAATAGACCAATCAATTGAATCCTTCAATCTAAAACAATGTGAAGGACTGCATAACCTATAAAACAATGTCCCACAAATTCAAACGGAACAGACTGACTGAAAGCGAGCTCTGCAAAGTCACCGTAGTTCTTTTTACTATGCCTAAAGTGACGATGCCGTCCACGAGGCTAATTCAAGATCCTAATAGATACCGTCATTTCAACAGTGGAGTAGTCTAATTACACATATCAACGATCGGCAGAGTCGAAATTGGGTCTTAACATGTGCGCGTCCAAATCCTACGTGAAAAGTAGCCCGATATTTGTTGGAATTCGTCTGCGTACCTTTCAGATCAGTCCCCGATCTTTTATTTGCCTCTGTATAGGCTTGAGCAGTCTGAGTATCCCAGCTTTCATAGTCCCTGTAGGTTGTAGGTGGCCTCACATCGAAGGAAATCAGTGCTGTACCGCAACTCACTATAGCGTCGAGGTCGATCGCATTCGAGTATGCGCAAACGGACTTTTGCATTGTGGCTCACACCACCCATGAGCCAAATCACCGTCTTTCCGCCACACTGATCGCATGCACTCGTGGGCTCATTTAGCATGATCTTACACGTTGGTGGCGTCGTACCCTACGATTATCAAGCCTGGATGAGTAAAACTAATAAGCGAAGATAGAGAGAGACTATATTAACGCAACATGCAATTCAACTACATGTATCATCTAATCGAACAAGAGTCGGTGAAGAACAAGAAGACCGACTGGAATTCATCCGAATCTCCAGTTCATAATGTTCTCCAAATGAATGTGCTGCACAAAAACAGCCTCCTGTTTAAGCTGGAACGAAGTAGTGGACTGTCCACAGTTTGCATCGACCTAAAGAGCAGTACTGAAACAAGACGGGTTTACGGTCGATCTTCTTTTTTTGAAGTACATGCAGTTATGGGTAAAAAAGGGTTGACCGATGCATGAGACATACACGGAAATCAGAAGCACATGTGTCAGAACTATCTCAAACCAACCTAAACGATTCACGAGTAGACGCCGAATAAGGAGACGCGAACTATCCACCAGACTCAGAGGTCCGTGAAGATCAGAAGCGACCGTACTGGCTGACGAATGCCGAACACTACTACAAGCCTCCGTGTACTGAGTCCTGTGAGCGGCCCAAACGGCGTGGAGCTGGCGGAATCGAGACGATGGGTCCTCGGCAGTGGACTCAAAACTTCCTAAACAGTCAGGATAGGCAGTACAATCGTTGAGATGAGAACGGTTTGGACATAGCGGAAGTAGCGGCGATGCTTTTGACCCTTCATCTATATGTAGCGCCTCCGGTGAGGCCCGATACAGCTCGAAAAAGAGAGCCAGATTCGCTGCAGATAGCTCTTTCGTATACAACGCGATAGAGGGCCCAAGTTGATTGGAAGGAGTGAAAACGTCCTGAAAACAAGACGACCAACGCATATATTTAGTAATCATTTCTAACAACAGAAAATACTCAAGGTGTTAAAATAGTCTGCAATGCACAAGAGGAGTTATTTTTGGATTGATGAGGCACCTGCACTGAAAACTTGCCCGGGTCTCTGGGACCAGGGCTTAGAAAACAGGGATTAATTAACAAGATCTCCTGTGCTTTGGAAGCAGAACAGAACGACACTCATGCTATGTCCCTCATTCACCCAGCATTCGATTACTAAAGCGTGTTTTCTTTGTTGATGCGAACAAAAAAATAAAGCACGACTGATGCACCACTAGGAGACGAAGCATAGTTGGCGATACTGCAAGATATGGCTGCTTATCAACGTCAATGGCGTTCTTGTTATCAGTTACCACCTGGGTAGTCTGAAGATGTAGACATCTCGGAATGATTATAGTAGGCCATTCCACCCATTGTTGTTCTCACCTTCGCAGTCAAGTTAAAAATAAAATGTATATGTGCGACAGCGAGGTATCGGAGCAGAAAGCTGATGTACTATCCGTGATGGTGATAGCAGTGGGTTAATACCCGGTTGATACCTGGTACATTTCGCCCGCACGTTTGAAGTGTGGAAGTTTGGAGTAATTACCGAAACGGCTATGCCACAAAGCAGCGTGGCTCCCATTCACATATCTATAAAGATGAACTCATCGATCATTTCGTAGAGATTTATTTGTTTTCTGTGCCATCAATGTCTCCTCAATGTCTCACGGATGCTGAGCACAGCAGCATAACAATGGAGTTGGCGGTGATATTGCGTGCGGTATGTGACACCTCAGCGACCGAAAACACGGTACATACGTAGAGCCACTCAGCCGAAGTGAAGCAGTTTGATCAGGGGTTCATGCCCTCAACCCTGACATACCTTTTCCAGTATTGTTTGCCCATTTGCTCAATCATCACGAACAGAAGTAGCTGGGAACAGACTTTGCTAGCACTGTCAAGTGTGGATATGCAACCACAGCTACACCCAAGTCCCTCCACCGTCAGATCACCACCACGTTCAGCGTGATATTCCATGGTCTTATTTGATCCGACCAACTGATCTCAACTCGCTGCGGTTTTTGCTTTCCTGCTTACCTCGTTCGATCCAAACTTCTTTGCAAACCCGAAATTCGTTTACTTTGGAGAGCCGCAATCTTAGACTTCGCTCGGCAAAGTTGTCGCCCATTCTCGTGAGAGCTGACCAAACAGAAACACTCTTCAATGGAAATCGTACCAACCTACGTCTGCCATGTGGAAGCAGAATGTTTCGGAAAGGAAGGTTGTGATGGGCGCTTGTCTAATTGTGCACAAAACAATACCAACATCAAGAAATGTGCACACATCCGGAACTGAAGTTAAGCTATGTCGCTTGGCCTAGACAGAACCTGGAGCATAATGAAGAACCATGTGACTCCCGGAATGCAAAGCGATCCAAGAGCAGGAATAAATAAAACAATTGAAAAAGAATGTACGCACAACGGACCAGTCCAAAGGTTTTTGTACAAACACGTGTGGATAGATGAGAAAGGCGGCAACTGAGCGTGACGTCTTCTCACCAAATCCCGGAAGTGGAACCGTCGGTTTGTTAGATTGGGAGTTGACAGCCAACGGATACCACACTGGTAGATAGCCTCGAGATTCCGCCAAATTGAGTGGCGAACGTCCAATCAGGTTTGGTCGATCTGCGTCCCAACAGTAAGGCTGATTGCAGACCAAAGCGACACATCGGGCGGCTTCCTGATGAACTGCAAACTGGAAGGACGGAAAGAAATATAAAATACATAGATACACACTGACCTGAAAGCGCTATAACAAGCATCGTAGTAGCAGAAAAGTAACCACTGAGACTCCCTTCCGGAGAAGTGTGGACTTCCGACAAGTTGCCTGGTAGGACACACTGCTACTTCCATGCTTAACTTGCTCAGCTGTAAGTGTGGAACAAAATCAGTAGTATCAATTTCAAAAATTTTAGCCATTAGTAACAAAGAGAGATAGATTCGTGTCACAGGAGCGTTGCGGAAAATACACTGATTGTTGGTGGTACTTGAGTCATGAAGCAATGATACGCTGCTAGGTTCGACCGCGTATTGTAGGTCTGCTTTCAATTGCTTGTACAGAAAGCCCGAACCGGTATTATGAACAGCCATCGACACAGTAAGGACAGCGATAACCTTCAGAACTCCTCTACCCGATGTTTTTAACGATGATGAGCATTATTCCAAGGGAAAATGACCGACTAATTACTGTTTAATGACAACAATTGGGTCGTTTGTCATCAACATCATGGTCATTGACCCATCCAGGTGAGAGGGAACAAATAACCAAACCGGTGGACAACACAGAAAAGGCGACCGATTATGATGTCATGGTCAGGTAATCGCCAACACGAGGAAGACACCGGCGGCTAGCTAGCTGACCGTTGCTGAGCGCCGAGATAATGATGTTGGTATGCGGATCGACAGCTCCAATGGTCATTCGGGTTGAGGACCAGATCACGTTGCGACTAGCGCTTGGCGTTTTGGCAGAATGAGTGTGCTGATTGGTAACTGTACCATGTAACTTGCAGAGAATACGAAGATTTCCAAGTAGGTGATTGATTGATTTGTACAGAACGTGAGCTGTCGCACGAGGCAAGCTTTCAGACCACTAATTTACAGAACTCACTGAAAATTTGAATAAGTGGTTAAAAATACCTGCTTAGGGTTCCTCCCTGTGAAGAGACACCCTCCTGATGCCCACCTCTGTTGGGATACTATGATGCGTAGTAGATGAAGTCACTTAGCTAGCTGTGAATCACAAGAGTTTGGTGCAACCAACGTGGGTTTAGGTACTGAGATTATCCGCAAATCTTGAATGGGAATACACGTACGCATCGTGCACAGGAATGACAGACGTCAAAGCAGAAACTGAACCCGCGACTCCTCATTTGCTGGACTATTGCTGGTCGAGACACCACGGACTCTGTGTACAGTCACGTGTATGCACTCCACATCCACTCGCCCCAATTCTAATGGATAAGTCAAAAACGGGAAAGTGTCTACGACAATAGTGAACTACATCTTCGATGTCAAGTTGCACGCTCATATCTATGAGGTGCTTCTACAGATTTTTGTCATCATGGAAGGTGCTAGTAATGTCGCCCGTGAAGCCTGAATCACCATTCTCAAGGATAAGAAGCAAAGAACTGACGCTTACCATCCCAATTAGCAGAAAAGTAACACCAGAAGGCAGGCCAGAACGGAGAAGTTCCGGGAATAGGTATAGTAACTAGATGTAACTAACTAGCCGATCATTGAAGGAAGTGGTTGGGGGGAATGTGGATCAGAGTGGACAAGTAAGGGGAATTACTAAGAGCCATCAAAACGTTCGGAAATTTCAGTGGGGAAAACAGCACCGGAGAATGGGAGTTGGCCACTGCCGAATATTTTCTATCACGACTTGCTGGGTCAGCTTGTCTCTAATGAGAAAACCAGGTAGTGTTGTGCACATTACGGACCCAGGCAACATATCCCTTGGCGGTAGGGTCTGATAGCAAGATCAATCATGAAACCTGGGTTACCATCGCCACTGAGAGACCGATAAACACAAAAACGTTTTTTTAGTTCTAAGAGACAAGAATTGAAAACCTGATATCGGTTGAGGTTGACTGGGAGGAACGAGTGTAAGCATAGGCTCCGACTTTAAAAGTGAGTCAGTGATCGAGAAGGGAACCCAGAAAATAGAAGTGGGTGAGGTCGTAGATATCGGAGATTCAAAACTCTTTGAGAAGGGCAGGTGGGATGGCGGAAGACAAGAGACGATAAAGTGAGTTAAAATTAATGTTCAACTACCAATGTTGTTGAAATTCATGAGGAAAGTGGTCATTTTTATGTCTGATTGTGTTTGAATGACAGGTGAGGGCTGGCAGCCCAACCCAGGAGCGTATGGTGGTTAACCACATAAGGCCCACTAGGAGGAGAGCCAGCCTACGATCCAGTTTCTGTAGCAATGCAGCTAATGGGCAACAGTTGGTCTAAACTGTGAACAATGACAGACCTTTGTAGACTTGTGTATGGATGACCCTGCGCCTATGGTTACACGGAATTGCCAAGTTGTAAGACCACAAATTCTGCCACTGGTTATTAGAAGTCGTATTTCAACAAGCCTAGTTTCTCATAACGCTTCGCGCTTCGCCAATGTATAACTTCAAGATGCGGTTGCAGTCTGACTACTCCAGACTGTTGTTATGTGACTGGCTGACATCTGACTCCAATCATACTATCAAAACTCGTGTTGCCCCTTTGACATTATTAAACGGAACACAGTGAATATACAACTGCATACAGAGTTAGCATAGATATAATTCTGTCAGAACGCGTAACAACGTGGACGTAGGTGGGTTTCCGCTTATATGTGTACCATAGGCAGGCTGTCAATGGTTCCAGTATGAGCAGATAATGATGTAGGACAGAAACGATAGTAGTAGTAGTAGTAGTAGTATGGCCCACCATCTCATTCAAGCATACGAGTGTGGCTGGTGGATAATACAGGCGGAAATGTGGACGGAAGCATGACGGTACTTCCATATATACCTTCAAAGAGGCCCTGGAGCACATATACCAATTGTCATTGCAAGGAAACTTACGACAACTAGGTCGGAAAATGAGTTGGGTCGTCAAATATAGCTCATTGTCTCGGATACGAACACCATACCCACGGTGACTGTCAGCTTGAAGTGTATAGTCAAATCAAATAGCGAAAATGATAAAAAAGCAAAAGATGCCTAGAAGGGAAATGAAAGGATGGAATGAGGTATCAACCTGCAAGCTGGAGAAAGTAGTGGTTGAACTAAGACATACTACTCAAGCAGGCACGAAGACCATCAAATGAACAGCGGCAAACAGGTTATCAAAAAGGCTTTCCAGCAGCTTGAAAGAAATGTGGACCTTGGCCTCTGTAGGCACGCGAACGCTATTATCATAGTATTGCAGAGATAATGATGAGGAACGAAAAATGGAAACTATCTGCCATCAATTCGTCAAGCTAATTAAAATACCGGGCCAAGTTCTTATGAAGGTTGAGAGGGTGGAACGACCGGCCGGGACTCCTGAGCCGAGGACAGTCCTGGTGCTATTCGGAAACCCAAGACATAAGAACAGCAGCGGGGCAACACATACGAAAGGCAATAAATGGCCGTGTTCAGGTTTGTCTCAATGATACAGAATACAGGCAACGCCCAGTTGCGACAAAAGTACAAAGTCTGCACTAAATGGAATAGGGAGCACACCGCGTTATGTGCACCCAAATTAAGTGCCGTGACCCCTACACAGGCAGCTCACCCGCAGAGCGTGAAGCGGATGGTAGATGATGCCCTGTCAAATTCTTAGCACGAAGCACGTCTCACTTGGATGTAACTAAAAGCTCACGAAGAACTCGCAGTGCCCTACCAAAGTACGTGACAAAAACGGACAGAGCCTTCAGGTGAAGTGTCCGAGAGGGGTCGCGCCAATCATCAGCCGGCTCGGAAGATCGGGGTTGCAGTAATAGCAGATCGCCTACACAAATGTACGTACTGTTGAAAAAAGTGGACTGAACTTAGAGCCAAAACTTCTGGTGCCAAAGTGATACAGGTATTTGCAGGTATTTACAGGTATTTGCCTAAAACCAGAGAACCCTACCAATAGTTTATGTCCTCATGGGTGTTACCCGTAAGGCTGCTAGAAGACGGGAGCGCCGTAGTAGAGTCGTTCTTCATATTCGAACGAAGCTCTGGCAGTATGTGGGACAAGATGCTCAGTTGTTAGAACCCGAATTTGCTGACCGGGAGGTACGTGGTTCAAACGGGACATCTGTATCTCAACTTCTCCTGTCTACCCTTGGGCGACCTGGCAGCCCCAGCCTCCGAGGCATGGCAGCTAGGCACCGAAAGGATGTTACAAATAAACGATTATTTTATTACCATTTTACCTGGTAGTAGTTTGTCTGTACCATGGAACAAAATCACATAGGCCTAACTACCTTCGCCTAGAATCGGATGAACCAGTTATCCCGGGGATTTTGATATCCCGGAAGCAAACTGGGAAACAGATCATCACCAACCGTGAGAACCGCGAACGGGTTGTGGTTGTAGCTTCCATAGTCTCGTTTACCGATGATTTGGGGAGGCGAGGTAGACAGCGGAACATCGAAGGCGGTAGACGATATGATTGATGCGTAAATACAGGGTTGCGAGTAGACTTAATTGCGGCGATTGGAAGGAAAGCTATGCATTGAGAGAAATTTAGCTTGGATGCACGAGCACCATTGAGGGCGCGACTGGGCCATGTCTCTCAGTGCTGTTTTTCATGCCCAATTCAGAGTGGCGTAAACAGAGAGGTGGCAAACCCGCCCATGACTTGGCAGAGGAGTATGAAGGAGATCACGAAACGCTTGGGTGCTGTCAGTGCTACTCGCCTTCCAGGATGGGGACCGCGTGATTCTCATTGTGCCTGGTTGGAGACACCACAAGATATGACTGCCAACCGATGTCAGTTTCTATCCAGATTGCCTGAGTGAATGTCTGGAGGTCTAGGCACCTCGGAATGATTGTGGTAAGCTAGCACTAAGTCCCTCCCCGTCCACCTTTATCCTTTTCTTTACAATAAGGCTTTCAAATAAGTCATGGTTGACCGGCAGTAAAGCATCGGTGTTGAACACTGATGTCATGCTGTCGATGATGATGATGATGATGACTGTCAGTGCCTCTAACCATTAATGTGTTCCATCTCGGGGAC